AATATATATATATTTATTTATTTATTTATTTATTTATTTTATTTATATATATAATATAAATTATATAAATTATATTATTTTCTTTTTTTATATAATATATATATTTATTTATTTATTTATTTTATATAAAATAAATAATATAAATAATATTACTAATTATTTGTTTGTAGTGTATAACCATTAATATACGCATATATTATTTTATTGGTGTTATCTCCTTCCTCCTCTTCCTGTCTAGTGTCTCCTTTTCCTTATGAGTACTAAGGGACTGTCTCCTTTTATTTATGAGTACTAAGGGACTGTCTCCTTTTCCTTATGGGCACTAAGGGACTGTCTCTTTTTCTTTATGGGTACTAAGGGACTGTCTCCTTTTCCTCATGAGCACTAAGGGACTGTCTCTTTTTCTTTATGGGTACTAAGGGACTGTCTCCTTTTCCTTATGAGTACTAAGGGACTGTCTCCTTTTATTTATGAGTAATAAGGGACTGTCTCCTTTTATGTCTTATAATTATTATTCTTAGGTGGCTGAGCAATTCGAGAGGGAGTTAACATACTTAGGTATAACAGGTGTAAGAGACAAACTACAGGCCTATGTACCGGAGACACTTGAGCTCATGATGGAGGCAGGTATTCGTGTATGGATAGCAACAGGTAAGAAGGGATCGTCATGGGATCGTGTGGGATCGTCTTGGGGCCGTCCGGGATCGTGTGGGATCGTCTTGGGATCGTGTGGGATCGTCTTGGGATCGTGTGGGATCGTCTTGGGATCATGTGGGATCGTCTTGGGATCGTGTGGGATGGTGTGGGATCGTCCTGGGATCGTCTCCAATTGTCTCTAGGACTTCATGCCAAATTTTATTCTCTTTATTAAATAAATATAATAAATAAACAGTTAATTGTCTCCTTTTATTTATTTATTTATTTTTTTTTCCCTAACAGGAGACGATGTTGAATATGCCCTCCATGTCTGCCATAGTTGTCGTCTCCTTACCAGCCAAACAAAAGTCTTCCATGCTGCACTAGCCACTAGAGGTACAGCTGCTGCTGCTGTTGCTGCTGCTGCTGCTGCTGCTGTTGCTGCTGCTGCTGTTGCTGCTGCTGTTGCTGTTGGTTTTGTTGATGTTGCTGCTGATGCAGTTGCTGGTGTAGATGTAGACTCTGCTGTTATAAAATAAAGGAGACAATCTGTTGTTTACCCCTCCTGTCTCCTTTGTCTCTTTTTTATATAAATATAATTATATACAGGAAAAAGGGCAAAAAGAGAAGGAATGTTATTATATGATATGTTTAAGGAAGCACGTATACTAAAAAGAGCAGATGAACATATTTGTCTTGTTGTTACTGGTCCTAATCTTACTGCTTTCTTAAATCATCCTGATCTACAGGTTAGGGTTTAGGGTTTAGGGTTTAGGGTTTAGGGTTTAGGGTTTAAGGGGGGGGAAGATGGGGAATTTAGGGTTTATGGGTTTACGGGATTGGGATTGAAAGTTTGGCGGTTTTAGGATTTTAGGGTTTAGGGTTTTTAGGGTTTTTAGGGTTTTTAGGGTTTAGGGTTTAGGGTTTAGGGTTTAGGGTTTGCTTGCAGACTTGTTTCCTTAACATGGCTTGCTGCTGCGACGTTGTTGTTGCTGCAAGGGTAACTGCAACACAGAAAGCAGACATGGTAAGTAACTGTCTCCTTTCTTGTCTCTATCTGTCTCCTTTATGCTGTGTGTCTCCTTTCTTCCTCCTTGCTGGTCATTAAGACTCTCCCTACCACGTGCATGCATGCATGCAATTATACATGCATGCATGCGTGCATGCATGCAGGCATGCATGCATTTTTTTGGGGCTTTTTCTCTCTCTCTGTGTGCAGGTTCGATTGGTAAAGAAGCGTCTTACCCCACAGCCTATTACTTTGGCTATAGGTGTGTCTCCTTTTTTGTTTCCTTTTTTGTCTCCTTTTTGTCTCCTTTTTTGCCTCTTTTTTTGTCTCCTTTTTTGTCTCCCTTTTTGTCTCCTTTTTTGTCTCCTTTTTGTCTCCTTTTTGTCTCTTTTTTTCTGCATAATAATATATTTAATAGTTTCCTTTTTTTCCTGTTTATCTGTTTCTTCCCTAAAGTGTCTCCTTAATTGTCTCCTTTTATAAATAAATATATATAAATAAATATATATAAATAAATATATTTACTCAGGGGATGGAGGTAATGATGCTCCTATGCTACAAGAGGCAAGCGTAGGGGTAGCAGTAAGAACAGAAAGAGGGACATCTATAGCAGGATTTGCTGACTTCGCTATATCTGAATTCAGGTAACAATAAGTGTCTCCTTTTTTTTTGTCTCCTTTTTTATACTATTTAGTGTCTTTTTCTTGTCTCCTTGGTGTCTCCTTTGTCTCCTTGTATACATCTCCTTTTTATCTCCCCTAGTGTGTCTTTCTTGTTATTTGTCTCCTTTTTTGTCTCTCCTCCCTCTGTCTCTTTTTTTTTTGTTATCCCCCTTCCTTGCCACCTTTTCCCCCTACAAATAACCTAATAAGGATATATAAATTATATCTTATTTATATATACCCATTACCTATTTCCTTAATAATTAATTATATCCTTAATTGTCTCCTCCTGTCTTCTCTCCTCCTCTGTCTCCTTCCTCCTGTCTCCTCCTCCTGTCTCCTCCTGTCTCCTCCTCCTCCTGTCTCCTCCTCCTCCTGTCTCCTCCTGTATACAGATTCTTACAACGTCTATTATTTGTACACGGACGTCTTAATTTCTTAAGGACATCAAAAGTTATTCTTTGGATATTTTTTAAGAGTATATTATTAAGTTTTCCTGGTTAGTATTAATTAATTAATTAATTAATTAATTAATTAATTAATTAATTAATTAATTAATTAATTAATTAATTAAATAGATTAATATTTGTTGATTTATTTACTTAAATAAATAAATAAATAAGTAAATAAATAAACAAATATTAATCTATTTATATATAATATGTGTCTATTTATTTACTTATTTATTTTTTTTAAATATATAAATACATAAATAAATAGGGGTCTCCTCTACTGTCTCCTCCCTACCTTCTCCTTTTTCCCGTACTATCTCCTTCCTACTATCCCCTTCTTGCTGTTTCCCCCCTCTAAGATAATAAATAATAAAAGAAATAATATAAAAGCCCCAATTCTCTCTTCTTTGCATGCGCTGCAGTCTTCTTATTTCAACCGAGTGCCTTCTGGTCAGCAGTAGAGGTAAGGGGGAAAAAAAAAAAAAAAAAAAAAAAAAAAAATTTCCT